CATCTTGTCTACTGAGCCCTCAGAATTAGAGCGAGCATGATTAATTCAACATTAATCACTGCCAGTTAGCTTTGCAAAACCTTTTTGTACTTGACTGCTGGTTTGGACACAGTCAGTAATAGAACGTCCCATTCAGTTCTGAATTAACACATTCATTTAAAAAACTCATACTGACCACTTATTTTTGATGAGTATTAACTGTGAAATGGGTGATATGTTTTATAGAGTGTAGTGTGTATTGTCAAGAATACTAAATATTTTGTAAATTTTTTACATTTCTTCTACCTGGCGCCAAAGAGAGAAAGTATTCCACCCATGTGTCAGCATGTCCAGCCAAGAAAGCCCGCAGTTATTCAGATTGAATATTGAACAAAAGAATAAAAAATATTGTTGACTATTGTATACTAACTTTATTTTCAGAAAAGAGACAATCGCTGAGCTGTATAAACTAAATCTTAGTTTGGCAAAAATCAGTGAAGATCAAATTGGCTTGAAAAGAATAATTGACTACAACAGTATACCTATATATTATGTCATACTGTCATGATGAGATTGAGAAAGCAAGATTTTTTAACTGACACTCATCAAAGCAGTTGTTTTTGCCAAGGAACTAAATACTGGTACAGAAAGAAACGGTGGAGGTATACGAATAGCTAAAAGCGCATTAGGGAGGTGTAATTGAATTCAAATGCAATTCTAAAGACTTAAATCATCATGTCAAATTACATAAGGAATTATCAAAATGATTGACAATGAAGACATCACACACAGTGAAGAGTAAAAAGAGCGCCTCTTTGATGACAGTGGGGAGCGTCAGTGCGTAGTCATTCGAAACTCTTTCCGCATTGTGATCAGACTGACTGCTGAAGCATACAGAACATTTTCCAGTGTTGAACTCCCAGGTGTCCTATGGCCTCAAGACTCCTAGTGGGTAGAGAGCCCGGCTGCTTTGCTGAATGCACTAATGTGACACTATAATCACACTCAGGTGCATGTCTGTGCTCCAGAGAGAATCAGCAGCAGGTTCTGGTGGTGGCAGGTGCCTGCCCTGGTATGAGTTCCATAGACAATACAGTATTCTTACACACCTATTGCCTTTTATAATAATCATAATAATAATGATAATAATAATCATAATAATAAAGATAAGCCTATAGACATAATAGTCTCGAATCACTGAGGCTTTCCTTTTTTTTTTTTACAGAGGACACTGCAGTGAGGACGATGGAGCTATGGGAGTCAGAGGAGCACCTCCACCTCCCCCTGCTCTGCGGTACAGTACACACAGATGGCCACACACACACATACAGATGCACTCACAGACACAATGGGTTGCCTTCCCACCCGTCCAATAACAGGCCTATTCATTAGAGTCTCTTACAGACAGTATTGACAGCCTGCTGACACGTAGTCACTTCAGCATAAACAAATGGAGCAATAGCAAGGAGCGCAGGCAGGCAGGCAGGCGGGGAGGGGGAGACCTGTTACAGTGGCTTTTTGACTGAGGAGGAATCTCCACGAACCAGGAGTGAGCCAGGCACATGGAAACAGAGGAGTTTAGGAAAGCTACCGCACAGACTTACATAATCGTTCTCACACACTTTATGCAGACTCCCCTCGGAAAAGTGTCACATTAATCTTGCACTCTAGGTCACACCTCAGATTTGTGGCCCATTCTAATTACGATCATGGGAAGAAGCCTTTTCATGCATCTCCTTGCTATATAGCGGCGTCTGTTGAAAGGTGAGCTGGGTCAAGTGCAGCAGGCAACTCATCACACAGCAGAAAATTAAAGAAAATTAAAGCCACTGGTTTGAGGCATGAGGTGCAGAGCGCAACAATGCAACGCAGTATCATCTTTTAAAAGCAGTTGTTGCAAAAATAATAGAATCCATGAGGTGTTTTCCTTCTGGTTATCAAGAGTTCTTTGTTTACTTGTATCCGGCTTATTGTGTTGTCCTTGTGTTGTACTTTTTGAAATATATTCTACTTTTTTGGTGTGGTGATTGTGTTCTCTGCTTTGTGAATTTTAATTTTTCCCCTCAGGGCCACCATAGACCATGGAAAATGCCGGAAAAAGAACCTGCAGCGTTTTCAACTTGCACAAACGCATTCCACTTCGATCTCCTGTATGCAAAAACTCGAAGGGACGCTTTTTGCTATACATTACAAATATCTGGCTCATTACAAAGTTATAATTACTGTGTCACTATGACACGATCAAAGACAACACGGCAGTGATCGAAAAATTGAGGGAAAATTGCTGACATGTTCAAAGATGTGATCTCCAGCGTGCCTTTGACTTGACCCCTGGGATCAGGTGAGGGAGTGGAGCCCCGGAGAGGATGGGGGTTGGTGATCTAGGTGAATGGAATGAGCCATAGCTATGCAGACAGGTCAACAGAGAGATGGACTTTATGAAGACAGATGAGGCGAGCGGTCGCATGCAAACACAAAGACAAAGAGACAAATAGAATGCATAGCCCTGAGCTGGACGGGCTAGCTCTGACTCAAACAGACAAGGCAGATGAGACATGAACAACATTCAAGTGAGAATTATTTGTGACATGGCTGAGTTGTCCCATGAAACTTTGAGAGGAAGGTTACAAATGGATTTTTTCAGACATTCTTTAATAATCATCATTATGCCGTATTTTGAGTGGCAGCAAAATGATATAGCATACAGACATTTCAAACAAAGCTTTTATTATACCGGGAGATTTCTTGAGGCATCTGGGAGCAAGAGACTTTTTTAAGACGTCATGGCAGCTAATTGCAACTATATGGCTGTCAGTTAAGAGGCTTCAAGAGTCCAGAAATATGTTGCCTATCGCATAACCAAAAACACAAACACATGTTGGCCCATGCGGTTGAATAGAGCTTACTGTACAGCTCAACCGCTCTCCCACTGCCATTATCTGCATCGGGACTGTCGTCACTATCGCAGCAGCCAGAGACCTCTGCCAGGGCCCCGGAATACCTGCAACGCTAGTTACAACTGACTTGTGATGACACCATGAGAACAGAGCGGCGCCGGTGCTGGTTATTTGCTCAAGGTCACTGGAAACAGAGGATAGAAAAGGGCTCTCTGCCACACGGGCAGCGTTTGTGCGGCCTGCAGTTTTACGCAGGCTCCCTCACAGAGACGTGACGCACAGATGTCGCAACAGCGTTTTTAGAACAATGCGTATTGCCATTTGTTTGCGATAAGTTATCAGAACCTATCAGGCTTGTATCGATGGGCAGAACGGGGCTATTTGCTGACTGAGGCTCAAGATTAACCGCCGGCCAAACTGTAAAGGTCACTGCAATGACATTGCCCTTTTCAAAAGGAGGAAAGCATGAAATGTCGAATCACTGAGCACTCACATCATCATGCAAATTGGGCAGGACGTTTGGAGCTGGAGAGGCTGAGCGTTCTCAGAGAAATAATGGGAGATTCCTATCTGAGTCCCAATTTCATCAGCAAGAGCCAGCTGTTTCGAAAGGTTTTTAAAGAAACGATGACAGTGCAAGAATGCGATATCTGTGAGCAAGTCTTCATTATAATCAAATGCAAGTTAATCCGGCGGAAAGAAGCCTAACGCTGTTCTATATCTTTGCAAATGTGGGATTCAGAAGTCACATTCCAAATTTTATTTCTTCCGTCGCAGCTCAAGAGTTTAAAACTGACAAGCAGTAATAACTACCCTAAGCTAAAAACCATTACCGTGGTGGAGCTGTGCTAGTGTTAACACATCCAGGTCAAACATAATTTGCAGCAGCTGCCACCACCTGCAAGTTGATCAAGACACTGCATGTCTAACTACTGTTTGCCTGCATGTCTGACCAGCTGCAGAAAGTAAGAACAGAAGCAATGATCAATCAATTTGCTACACAGTGAAAACTCTGTTTAAAAGTCATTGTAACAGACATGAACTTTCCCGACTCGCTGAGAGCCTGTAGCTCACAGGTACAGACGCTCTTCAGCAAGAATGTTTCAGACTCTCAGAGCTGAAACAACTTGACTCCCTATAATCATTAAAGATGTCTGCTTGAAAAACATGCCTGCCGGGAGAGCAGAAAAGCAGAGCTGCGCCTGAATCAGCCCAGGCATGCGTTAAAACAAAGTGGCCTCTCCGGTAGAGCACATAGCAACACATACACACTCTTTTAGCACCAGTACACACGCTACAGCCACCCACGGTGTCGTAGAAACAACCATACACAAATGACAAGACTCTAGAACAATCTTTTTGGCATTGCTCTGCTTCTTGAATATACAAATACTGCTTTCTGATCATATCCACACAGCTGCACGCACAGGCTGGTGATATCGCTGGACTTGTTCTCTGTATGCATGTACAAGCAGGCTATGTAGAGCACACAGAATTCCCTCTTTCAAGCATAGCCACTATGAGACCAGAATACTAAAGATAAGGTTAGCTGACTCAGAGCCGAGCAACAATGCATGATAACTAGGAACTAGACTGTCCTGCATGCTAAATAAGGATCTTCATTTTTAAATAATGCTTTTTGTTTAATGGCAAACTCTGCTCATAACTAATTCAGAGGGGACGGAAGGTTAAGGAGGGACAAATCTATCCTTCATATATTCTGGGATGAGTGTTTGCATAAACTTTCATGACATCAGTTATCTGTAAGTTTAGATGATGGCATCTTTGTCACTTACTCCATCGGGCATGACACAAAAATGGTGGAGTCTGGTCATGTGACCAAACAGCTCATAATGATACTGTCCAGCTCAAAACACTTTGACCTTCCCTGTCATCACTCACACCTGCCACAGTAATGGCGCACTATTATGATAATCACAAGCATTAGGCATGAGTTAACGGTTATCCGAGCACACAGCATTGACAGATGTCCGTGTGGCATGGAGACCAAAGCAGAGCACACCATTGATCAAGACCTGACGGTGGCCAAGTCAAAGTAGAGATTAGTGATACAAGATGACTGACAACCCCAAAAATCCCGTGCACCAAATAGCAACAACTCACCCAAAATCATGCTGTGTGTGGGTTGCCTTTGGTGTCCCTGGGTTGACAAGTGTTCCTTCACTGCCCCTGTCTCTCGTGCTTTCGCCCAAGAGACAATGACTCCAAAATTCAGAGTTCCTCTTCACTCTCCAGTTAGAGGCAACTCAGAGTCAGCATTAGATGTGAGGAGAGACTGCTGCTGCTGCACATGCCGTCCCTTGCGCCTGCCCTCTCCAGGTGAAAAACTGTGTGTGTGAGAGAGTGAGTGAGAGAGAGAGAGAGAGAGAGAGAGTGTGTGTGTGTATGAGTGCGTGGAGGAGGGGGTCCAGTGTTTCTGCAGTGGTGGCTCAGGTAAGCCTGAGGACAGTATGGAGGTGGTTGGCAGCAGAGAAGGAAGAGAGGAGGAAGAGGGGGGGAAGAGGGAAGAGGGGGAGCTAAAGTGTGACAGCCAATCACAGGGGGAGACCACAGAGCCAAGATCTTCTACTCCACAGCAGCCAGGAAGAAATGCAGTGGTCCCCAACAAGCAGCTGATAAACAGTTTCTTGTCAACTGTGTCATTTCACGGGGAGCTTCAAATGGAAGGTCTTCAGTGTAATGTAAAGTCAACGTCTGCTTTGGTCTCTTGCAGTAAGACACACACTCCCTTTTCCACTCTGACTCTCTCTCTTTCTCTCTCTCTCTCTCTCTCTCTCTCTCTCTCTCTCTCTGCTTCTTCTTTTTGGGGTTGGGTATAACCTAAAGGCACCTTACATGCCTCTGCTCTGATTGGTGGCAGGCTTGGCCAATGGGAGCGGCAGCAGGCACTTGTCATCATGCAGAGTGGAAGTCATGAAGGAGAGACAGAGCTTGACTGAAAATGCCGTTTCCCAAACCTCAGCCTCTCCTTTTCGTTGAAGCACTCATCTCCCTCTTTTTGCTCAGAGCCTGCTTTGCTCACACGGTGATTGCACTTGTTTATCATTCCGCCCCCTCTCTGTCCTCTGACTCCACACGTATATGGACTTGTTAGAGGATTAACCTTTTATCTGTGTGCCTTTCATCTTTCGTCCTTCCATCCCGTAACCCAAGCAAAGTTAGGCGTCCAGTCAAACGGATGGAATTTAGACCCAAAGAGCAGTGGGCAAAAGGGGGGTTAGCAAGCAAGCAAGCGAGCAAAAAGAGATGAAATGGAAAACGACATAGCCGTGGAAGCAGAAGAAGGAGGGGCAGAGATTAAACTAAATACAAACTGACAAAGGGATGAAGAGTTGTGGATTGACACGAAGAGACAAAGCCTGACAGAAAAACGGACACAGGAGACAGGCTGCAGAGGATTTCACTGTGAGCCAAAGCAGTGCAGTCACTAATTGAAGAGGAGCTTCACAGCCAGCTTCTTATGGTCTACTTCCTCCACACCAAGAAAGCACTCAAACAATATTGCTGTCATGTTCCAGCGCTAGTCTCTGCCTCCAATTTCCCTCGTGAAGGGGAATCACAGCACAGCTAGGGAGACTTTCAAAATCACACAGCCACAATGTTATTGAGATGCTCAGTGCTTAAGAGAAGGCTTAACAAAGCTGTCAAAAAATTAATCCCCTTGGGCAGGCATGCTTGCAAACACACAGATATAACCACGTGAGCCTGAGGCTACAGAAAATCCTGCCTGATGTTCATGGAGTCTCTCCTTGTCCTGCTTTCTCGTTCCCTTTTTGTGTTCTAACTCTCACCCCCACCATCGCCACCCTTTTCACGCTCTCAGGCTGAGGCAGTGAGTCACAGGGTGTTGGAGAGAATACTAAGGAGGCAGGCTGACACCTCCAATACCTTTCTGTACAGCAGCTCCTCTGCATATATTTAAGTAAGTGTGTGTAAACACAAGCTGACACGGTTGCCACAGACACCCCCTCAAATTCTTACTAATACGGTAAAATTCTTCGACAGAAAGCTTATGGCACATTAGAATATATGGATTAACAATCCATGCGAAACAAAACAAAACAAACAGCTGTGGATATGTCATACTGAATGTAGAGATGCTGGATAAATATGACGACGAAAAACAAACAGAATAAAAAAGAAATTGCAACGTCTAGGTGTTTGGATCAAATCCACCATGTCTGTGGGAAATGGATCGAGCCCTGAGAATATGAGTTCTTGAAAATGGGACACATGGAAGCTGGAACAGTAGTAATCATTAAGACAGCTGTGCGTGCAGCCCATTCCATGACTATGTTTCTGTGTCTGTAAAAGACCTTGGATTGGGTTTCCTCATTAGTTGTGTTGCTATCAATAATTCAGAGCCAGTCCTTGTTGGCGTTCAATGGGCCGAGTGCTAATGTCCTGTCGGGCCAACAGGGGCCCAGGGTCCAGCGCCACTTTAATGGATGTCATGATGAGAGGGTGAAATTGGAGCATGGAGATCATGTATCATCCATAGGCAAGAAGACGCAGGGATGAAGAGGCAGAGCAGGGGGACAGAGGGACAGGGGACGGATGAAAGCCTCTGGGGAGAGGACAGATGGTCTCATAGGTAACGGCAGGTATGTGAGCAGAGAGGTGATGGAGAAATTATGAAGACAGAGCAAAATAGACGGTCTTTAGCTCCATTGTTGTCGAGTGGCTGCACATGCCATCGCAAGATGACATTTTTACTTCTGTTCTATAACTTCTGTCCTCTACTTTAAGAATTGTTATTTAGACTTTAAGCCTGTAATCTAAAGTTCCTTATCATTTGGGGCCGTTTTAAGACCTAAAGTAGTAAAAATAACTTTTTTGTTGTATAGTTTTTTAACCTAAATAGACATTTTGTTTTAGTTAACAAGTGACTAAAACTTACTTAGTGAAAATGTTCATTTAAACAAAAGGGTTTGAAGATTCAGATGAGAAGCAGATTAAAACTTTTTACATAAAATGTACATGATGGGCCTTAGGTGAAATACACTGAACTTAAATTAAACAAGCCACTGAAAAAATGAATTAATGTAATGGTAATTCAAGCAGTTCACGCTTCAAGATGTCCAATGGGAAGATGACTTCTTAATTATTCTTGTTGGTGTGTCAAACAGTGCGGGTTGCCCCAATTTATAGTAGATAACTTTAATTCTGATTAAATTCCCTTTAAAGTACATTTCTAGACTTATATTTATTATATCTGAGGCCATTTAACAGACTCACTCATTTCAGGGTTGGTTAACTCATCTTTCATATTAAGTATCATCTATCGAACCCTTTTCCGAGTACATATAAGCCCTTTTAACTCAGTGGAATTACGTTTTATTAATCCCAAAGACTGAAATCATTTTTGCGTCTTACAAAATCCCCATTAGTTTAGTCATCCATTACAAACCTTGAAATAATTGTTGTAGGCAGGAAAAGCAAAAGAAGTATCTTAATGAACACACTTTGTTGTTCGGACACTTTGTTAAATAGTGTTCACAACACATAGAGGGTGTGCATGTCAGTTATACTTAGCAGCTTTTTCTTTGCAAAAGCAGCAGTCCCCCTTACAGAGCCAACCTTCTCCATAAACATGTTCAGTTTATTTACATCTCCAAGAGTTGGCTACAAAGCAGAGAGCACTCTCCAACAGAAATTGGAAGAAAACATGCAGCATCTTGTTACAAACACGAAAATACCAAAACCTTTTCAAAAAGAATAGTCTGATCTATTCTGTCTCGCAGATATTTAGTGGACAGCATTTCCAGCTCAGTGTTTTGTCCATGTGAGCAACCCTCTATGAGTACCATTGACCATCACCTACACCACTTGCTCCACCACATCTGAACTGCTCATTCCTGGTCCTCTTACACCCAACAATTGTTACATTTGTGTTGTTTACATCTGAAAAAGCTGTCACTCCATACCGTAACATGAGCATCCAATTCCCCAGTACTATATCTGGAAATGAGACTCCAAGACTTCAAGCACGACGTCTTGTGATTGAGGTGGAGAGTTAAAGTCAATGAGATCAAGCCAAGAACAGGATTGTGTGACAACATTTGTTCCTCACACTTAAAGTAAATTAATTATATGAAATGTAAGTGAGTTAGGTTCATTGTTATTGACCTATGCTGCCCTCTGTTGGTGCAACTCTGCCAGTACAAGACTAAATCTCTGTAAAAGTGCAGCCAGATTCCTGATCTTTCCAGTAAAACGATCTGAACTTGTAAACTGAGAAGGTTGTATGTTCCATAGGCCATGCCGACACACAGGGATGAAATGGGAACCATGAAGAAATGTGACACAGCTGGTTACAGTGTTGAAGGCTTGCCTTGCCAAATCTAAAATACCTTACTTAGGGGGAAAAAAAGAAAAAAAGCCTCCCAACAAACCTGTTTCTAAGCAGCTGAGGCCAGCATCCTAACAGAGACTGATTTTATTTGTATTAAAAAAAAAACACTGAAGAGAGTGTATCCTTCTGATTTGCTGCTGTAGCCTATGAGAGACATTAAACCCGAGGAAAACTTCAGATCATTCTAAACTTTGTCTTCTTTTCTGCCAGAGAAAACCGTAGTAAATCTCCACCGAGGGAAATTCACCAGACAGCCTGTAACTCACTTCCTTACAACAGCTCACGCTCACCGTGAAAATGCAGCTTCTGTTGGTCATAAATTCTTCTCATATATCAGAAATGCCTGCAGGGGCTGTGCAGTTTCTTGAAAAGTTTCCCGGCATCCCTTCTTTTCTTACAGAATGCACTCATATGGTGAAATGAAAGTGATACACTGTCTGAAACTATTCATGTTTTGGGTGTCTCCTGGTACTGTGGTGGTGAATTTAGAGGCTGCCTATGAAGGGCAAAGGTGAGTTTGACAGGCAGCATGTTAGTCAGCTCAGCATGAACAGAAAGACTGGTTACAGTCCTTGTGTTCTCCTTGAACTGGCCTGAGCCTGCAAGTCTGACAGGCATATCACTTTGCAACAGTGAGGGATAATCATCTCACTAAATTTAGAGTATTGATTAGGTGTGGATATGCGCAGGAAATGCGACTAGAAGTATGGTATCTTCCTTGTGTCCATTTTTTCTTTGAGGAAACATCTGAATTATTCAGGATGCACTGTATATATGTTGTTTTTATTGTAATAAATAAAACTGTGCAGCTGTTAAAATATACTTCTGTAAAGTAATATTTCTTGTGTTAAACTGAAAAAGTCTTATTGCAAACTGAAAATGTTTTTTTCCTCAAATGGCCTCAGAAGAATATGTGTTCTCATCATTTAAGATTAACTGTCAAGCTTTGGAAGTTTAATATTATGCACTTGCATTGTTAAAAAATGTATCCTCTCGTTGTACAATTTATTTTTGCTTTGTTTGTGCTGTGGAAACATGCTTTGCTCAATTTGTCTGGCTGGTAAAGTTTTGGACAGCTGAATGTGTTTTATGTGAAAGGACAGGAGATTGTGCGTTGCAAGGATGGGTTGATGTGTGTACACAGGTGGGTGTGCCTCCCTTGCGAATCCACACTTGCCTACAGAGATGGAGAATGTTGATGTTGACTGTCACACTCTCACACTTCCCCGACATATTTACACCAGCATCACAAGTATTGGGTTTCTTTCAGTCCCAGCTCATCTATTGCTGAGCTCTAGTCTGATAGGTACCCAATCTCTGCTTGTATTATTTGGGATTCAACTAATCGATCACTCGTCTTTTCGTAAAGCTCAGAAAATAGTGAAAACAAGCATCACTCAAAATGCTGCTCCTTAATGCTAATTTTGAATTTTTGTTAAATTGAATAACAACCATAAAATATACTTTTTTGTTTGTTTGTTTGTTTGTTTTCTACATAGAAACGTACACTCTTGTGTCAAAGCAGGCTAACACATAAATGAGCACACATGTACAAAATTATGCAAATTTTCCCAAATCTAAAGTTTTCAAACTAGACATGAAAGTAACTGGTGACAGATGGAGCTGTCAGGAGGGTTGTCAGCTTTACAGTCACACTATATTGTACAGTATGTATGAAGAAGATAATCAGGGTACTGCTCACACATCCATAAACCTGTGATTCAAAATACTATATTGAAAACATTAAGAAATATCTACAGCACCAGACGTCAAACAATAATCTCACATATGCTATGAGAAAGTATTTGAACACAGATTCCCGCATAGGCTCGACTGTGTTAGTTTAAATAGGAGTACACACACAACAACAGTGGGTGGTTTGTCTTACCTGTGTTCCACATTGGAAATACCTCTATTTCTTCCACTGACTCAGTCAAATTTCAAGTCAAACTGTAGTGAGGATTGACTGGAAATGCTCTTAAATCCTCCCACCATGAATTTGGCCAAACCTCTTCAGGTGAAAGAAAAATGTGTCAGTTCACATTGACTAGCAAGACTCCCGGAGTAGCACATGCAAACAGCAGTTGAGATGACCATGCAAAGGACATGTGGACATAAAGACTGTATACACACTGCATATGTCACCTCCCATCCACCTCTACATCATATCTCCTCCCTCCCTTCCGTCCTACCTCCCTCTCAATCTCAGCTCTGTGTGAAAACAAAGCTAGGGCAGGAGATTCCAGCAGCTTATCTTAGTGGACCTTAATAAGCGAAGGCAGTTGTATTCAGTAGTTTAAGGGGGAGGAAGGCAGGAAGGGGAGTCAAATGTCAATGAAGGTATGAAGAGTTAAATAAGGTCCAGTACACAGAGAGGAGAGAAATATCAACTTGCATAGAGATAATTTGTGGCACAGTCTAGGAGTGAATTCCATACAGCTAAGGTAACTGCAGAACTCTCTTGACTTGCAAACGTCAACTCATAAGAAGATGGAAAGCAAAAAAGTCCGTACATAGCTGCTCAGGACATTTATTCCTGGATCTCATACGGTCATGTCACACCTACAGCAATGTTGACAGGAAGTTTCGAAAAACTGTGAAAAGTTTGAACATAAGGATAAATGCTGAGTGACTCCAGTGGCACACACATGCAGAAATTCAGAGGTAAATGCTATTCTGGTGTGTCTACAATAAGCACCCACCAGCCATACTTGGAGCAATAAAATACAACATTAAAAAATAACCAATTCTCTCAAATCCCACTTTTCTAGACATCTTTACAAAGCTGACAACTATATGAGTGAGACACAGAATTAAAACTGTACATTCTCCGCCTCATAAGCAGTCCCAGTGTGTCTCAGCAGTCTGCAGAAAGATAAGGTTGGAAGGGGAAAAGGGCGACAGAGTACAGCTGTAAGCACATTTCTGCTCTCAGAGGCCTGAGGGGTACTGTTACAGACACACATTGCAGACCAGAACTATCTCTGTTTCTGACAATAACAAATATCCTGCTAAAGGTTACACAACAAACCATTAAATCTAACAACTGACTCTCTGGTTGTAATGTAACTGTTTATTTAGCAAATTCTCAGTATCATCTGGATACTGTAACTCAAGAGTAAGAAGCTTGTTTCAATAAGAATGCCTCATTTCAAAAGCAAGTCAAGAATCATGCATTCAATGCATTTTCCAGTGACTGAGAAAAAAAACTTGACAGACAGAACAAAAAGAGAAAACACATCACAAAATTCAATGATCACTCTCGTCCTCTCTCTCTGTCTTAACCTGTGTTTTCATTGTAGCCCTGCCCACTCAGGAAGTTAATCATCCAAAACTGAAAGCAGCTGTAGGTGTGGGTTGTCAGCACAAGTCTAAACAAATGCTGGCTTTGTCTTGGGGCTGATACAGTTTTGTTGTAAACATGGCCAGTAGGGATGTGCTGAAATCCAGATTTCTCACCTATGATAAAATGTACACTCATGAAATGCGGGAACAAAGTTTTATAGAATGGCCCTTTAGAGAGGAATGTAACTGCACACCTGAAAAGGTAAGCTGACCACTGACACTCTATGTAATTCTGCTGTTTGAAAACTGTAAAACTGCTTAGATTGTGAAACATGTTCAAGAAAATAACTGCTTTGATCAGTTATTTAACAATGCAGTCTCCTCGAGTCAATGCAACAGGGTTTCATCACATAAAATAATGTTCATGTGTACAGAATTGTATTTTTTTAGAGTGATTTAATGAGTACGTTTTTAACATTTGCATGTTACTTATCTATCACTACAAAACTATGACAGTTCATGATTCATGGTTAAGCAGGTGTCCAGTGCAGGGATGTTTCCCATTGCCTTCAACGGTGTTGTCATGATGGATGAGTTGCTGACACCTCACTTGATGAGTAACAGTATGTGCCATGTTTACAGGATCACAACCTCACAAAGAGCCAAAAGGAGACCATCCTCCGGTTTCATTCCCACCGAAACTAATCCTGTTGCTGCAGAATTTCTGATCTGCATCTTATTTTTGTCTCTTTATCATAATCAGTCCACTAAAACCTTTGTGTGGCTAGTATTTACTTTTTTTTTTTCTTTTTCTTCTATTTTTTTTTTTTTTTACAGATGGCTAAAGCTGGGTTTGTCCACTGCCCCAGTGAGAATGAACCTGATGTTGCCTGTTGTTTCTTCTGTCTGATTGAGCTTGAAGGCTGGGAACCAGATGATGATCCCTGGTAAGAAAAATTTTATTCTCAGATTATGTGTAGTTTAAGGGTGCAAATTAGTTTGATAACCATTCATGTTTATGGTTTTTGGATGTGGATAAGTGTTGCGGATTGTTATGAATAGGCTAATGTAATGTAAATGTAAGGTTTTTTTTCTTTTTTTCTTTCAACTCACCATAGATGTTAAAAGGTAAGATAGCAACAGCATGAACTTTAAGTCTCAGCAAACAACCATCCAAAGATTTATTTTTTATTCAGTTGAAATTATTTCAATGAATGCTTTGTGGAAAAAGTGCAGTTTTCTTTGTATTGAACCACAATCTTCTACAATTTCTTCCAAGCAGGTCTGAGCATGCAAAACGCTCCCCTAACTGCGGATTCTTATTAATGAAGAAAGACTTCACTGAGTTAACTGTATCTGAATTCTTTCACCTGGAAAAAGAGAGGCTAAAGACTTATATTGTAAGTATACTCACAATAAATGTAAATAATTTTCAGTGAATTCTGTAAGTGCCTGTGTACTGGTACAGTTGTTCAACATTGTGCTTTTCCCCCTTTCTCCAGAGGAAAGTTTGTTACAATAAGATGGCGTATATGCGTGATGAGGTGGACCACATGCTTGAAGGCCTTAAATCTCAGCTGGACTCAATATGATTCATATTCTGGTGTATTACCTGTTTAATATTTAAACTAATCTCCAAGTTGCAGCAAGAATATCATATCTTCACGTAATGAGTTAACAAAATGACATTTTAAACGCCAATAAAGTTTTTATATTATGTTTGCAGTCCTGTTTCTATCCACATGATGGGGCTTTTGAGCTAAAGTTGCAGTACTCTATCACAGATGGAATTCTCCATCTTTCATTGAAAATCTTCACAAATGTCTGCCCCTTCTAAAATGAAAGCACGCATTGAGATGGGATTACAATGTGAGCTATATTCCCTCTTTTCAAACAAATACTTACCATTTTCTTGAACGTGCCACCATCCCTACCACCTCTTTTCAAACCTTGACCCTGGACAGATGGCCTAAAGTCCCCCCCCTCCCTTTCAGTACCAACTGTTGCCCCAGTAACATCTGTTACATATAGGGGGACAGTGTGCACTGAGAGGGCTTGCTAGGACACTAGTCTGGCCCTGAGAGGAGAAATAGTATTTAAGAAATACAGCTGAGAATAAAAAACTTAAGCAAGGTGTTACAAATGTTAACCTCTAGAATAATTAGCTAAAGTTGCAAAAGTGTCTGCTCAGTTATTTCCATTTGGTGAACTGGGTTTGTGTGCAGTTTCCGTATCACTGAGGGTACGGTTAGCTCGATGGAGTGCTGGATTAAAAGATGCTATCCCTTCTCCAACCTTCCTCTGTTCTGGATTAATGTCTAATGTAACACTCTGGCCACTGAACCCAGATAAACTGTGTAATTCTCCTTTATCCGCTCACTACAGAGCAAATTGAAGGGGAATATTTTTAGAAAAAGGAAAATACTCTGAAGTGATGTAACACTTCTAATGAAACACTTACACATTAAACACTGGAACTTTTTTGTACTTTATATATAGTGATATTGTAGAACATTTTCTTAAACAGATTGTAATTTTTCACTGCATTATTTACCAAATAAATGAATGATCCAAAATACTTTTAACATCGATACTAAATTGAATCAAGTTGGACACAAAAAGTGTAGCACAAAATTCACAGGAATTATTCATTTTACAGTAATTGCTAATGTACCTTTAATCAGAGCTTATCTTCATCCTGTGTCAATCCACTTATATCTATATGTGTGTGTGTTGGTGTTCCAGAAAATGAACAAAGACCACAGATCAGAACAGATGTGAAACATGGGCTTATCTGTGGGTATTGTGGGAATAGTTTTAGAGTTTGAGGTGGGAGCCTGGCCTTATGTTTTTCGTAATGTGAACCAAATAGAAATCTAAATAACTTGATTATGTCTTGTGTTTCTGCACATTGAATTGAGTTCCTGCACAGTTGTAATAAAGAAAACGTGACTAGAAATAACTTTAGGTGCAGTATCCTGATTGAATAGTTTTGAGCAACAAAAAAAACTAGCTGCAAACAACGGATGTAACAGATGGATAAACGGACAGATGTTACCAACAGAAACTTTACAACCTGAGCCTTAAATAAGGCCCCATCTGTTGTTCCTAGAACTGGTACCTCCCTCTACCCTCCTCCAGTTCTAGTCCTCTCCTCATCAACATCTACCAGACACCCTCTCCCCTGATGCATGGCTCTCTCTCTGGGCAGATGAGCTTTCACAGACTAAATCCAACACAAAAAAAAAACACAAATTAGAAATACATCTTAGAAATGAAAATGTGTTATGAAGTTACCACTTTTCTTCTCTTAGTGTTCCTCTCATGTTATACTTCAGCTGAACCAACTGAATTTTAAATGGAGAACAGCTGACAGATGAGCCCTACAAAGTAGTTGTGAGCCTGTGCCAGTGACGGCTAGAAAAATGGAAACAGACCGAGTTTTACTGCTCATTGCATGATAATCAGGAAAACCTTAAATCCTGATTAAGTTTCACCTTTCCCTCCTCCACCCCTTTCCCATATCTCCGGTTGGACATGCTGGCTGTGTGCGCTTTCATACTCCACATCCCTCCTACCTTAGCTGTTTTGTTTTTTGTTTTTTTTTGTTTTTTTGTGCTTTCTTTCAAAGAGACCTCCATCTGTCGCTTCACTCAGCCTATTGTAGAGCCTCTAAGCCCAGAAACTTCCACAATGCAGGGGGCGTGCATAGGGGGGGCATGGTAAACACGACAGCATCCAGATCCCATTAGAAGCTATTTAACTTCTATACCCTAATACTCTGAGAGGACTCTGGGAGGGGATTGTCCACCCCTCATCTTCATGCACACAATGTCACCCCTTACACCCACTTCCATAGGTAATGAACCTGCTTGTCACGTGAGAACAAGCAGTTATTTTGTATCCTTTAATTTTAAGATTTTTTTAACCAGTTTTTCTTAACTCTCCCAATATGTTTTGAAAGGAACTCCATGTTTTAGTTCAAGAAATACTGCTGAGAATCTAACTGGAATTCATTACACATTCAAAGACAAAAGTCAGTGAACATAGAATTTTAGGAACCGCTTTAAGATCTCACAAACAACAGTAACTTCGAACACAGCCTGGAAAAAGAAGCATACGCATTCATTTCAGTATCGGAACATGCAACAAAACCCAAAATGGAGTCTATCTACAGAGAAAACATAGTTATTCAAAAAATACATTTTAAGAAAACAATATATGAAACACTTTAGTTTCTGTTTTTTTCAGGCCCTTCAAATAACACAGAAACCTTTTTTACAAATAGTTACAAATAGTTTCTTTTTGCTAATTGATTCAATTACTATCCAATGCAAAGCCAATTTAAAAGCTTTGGGTCCTTCATCAGCCTTTCAAAATGTGACCATAATCATTCCAAGTGAACCCTCCCATTCATCCATCTTTCCAGTCTCGCCATCTTTCACTGCGCTCCTCCATCTTTGACCACATCAATGTCTCTGTGCTGTGTCTTCTTCGTCTTTCTTCTACCAGCTGCTTTGCTGGTTTGTCCCCATTTCGAACTGCTCCACCTCTCAACCTGGGTATCCATAACCTCTTGCACCCTACAGAGACAAGTGTGTGTTTGCAAGCGTGTTGAGGCCTGAGGGGAGGGGGCATCACCGTGTCCATCCCAGCTTAAAGGCAAAGGGATTATTGGCACACAGACACTGATTAAAGCCTTCCAGCCTCCTATGGCCCCATTAATACAGTCTTAATCACAATGCTTTATCCTTCTATCTAGTTTCTATGGATCTTTTCATTTTAGTGTAGTACACAGTGGTTTTGCCGGTGGATTAAGTGTGTTTTACACAGAAAATGAAATATAAGCACAGGAGAATAAGTGGAAAAGAAAGAATGGGGATTCACTTTGTGTTCAGAAACATCCTTAAATTCAAATGTTTTTATTCAGTTTTTTCTCTCTGCTGTCAGCTTCCACTGCCAAAGTCAAACAAATTCAAGATTTTATGTTCATGTTGAAACCATCTGTTATATAATGGCAAATCTAAAAAAAAAAAAGTTAAGGAATCATGAGTAACATTGTAGCATCTTAAAATATATAGGAGCTGATATCTGACTTGACCTTCTCTAACAGGACTCAGCTTGAGGGTAGATTCTGCTGCCTTCTGCCTCAGCTAAGGTGACAGGACATGGCATGTGTCTGCTTATCAGATAAAAGCCACTTGACATGTTGTCTTCAGTTGCCCTGTACATTTGTGGCCTTTTGTAGAATACTTTCGGACACCTCTGAGAATAAACTGTTAACATCAGTTTAGCATGAAACTCTGCATGAAACAGAAAACACTAAACTTTACTGGATGTAATTCTTAGATTTTCTGAAACTCTATCACTATCACTATCAAAATGTTCTCCATGGCTCAAACCCTGATGACATCTTGCGCCTGAGATTTTTTAAATCTTGTATAAAAAATCAATTTACACTGATTATTTATATATCCACCCACTCATGTATTTGGACTCCAGAGGATAATTCACATTCCCTGCCCCCAACTGTTTTTGTCGTAACAAAACAGCAAAGAGACAATGGGTGTGTGCCAGCTAACTCTGCCAGTACTTTCTCACAGGCCAAGTGTCTGCCTGCATAGCTATGTGTCATTCCTGTGCAAAGGCTGAAACACAAGAGCATGGGGGACCAACTTCATGATGAGGAGCGGGGACCTCTGTCACCTCTTCTGCCCTTTTCTTCTCTTCGCTACCCTTCGCTTTTCCACAACACAGTCTCCCTTCGCCTCTCACATCCTTCTCTCTCTTCTCTCTTTCCCCCAAAATTGGCCCAGCTGTCCGTCAGCCCCCCGCCGTTCCCCCAGCTGTCTGCCCTTCCCAAATAAGAAGAACAACAACAATACAGGTCACAGGTCAAGAGAAAGAACAGGCTGCCTTCACAATAGACCAGTGGCGCCCACTAAAACAATCATTCCCTTTTCTTCTTTGGCCTTTCTGCGCTGTTGCCAAAACTGGAAAAGACAAACCTTTGGAGATGTAGCTGAAGAGGGGGGAAGTCCTCTTGCACAACAGCCTCCAAAGCACCTTCTCCTTTATGCAATTGTCTAAAGTACCAGAAGGACAAACACACTTGTGCACATCAGCTCTGACTCTCACCACTCCATCTTTGCCCTTTGGCAACCCTCTTCTTTGTATATTTTAAGAGCCATTATGTGCTTAACATGATCATTAAGGTCAAAACTAATACTTTGGTCATTAGTAGATTGATACAAATGTGTGTATATGAGCTGACATCTGCTTGCTTCACAAGATCTGATAATAGAGTACTGCAACATTGCTTTGCTAAATTTTCCGGGGTTGTTTACGTCCATAGAGTGAAAATATCACCATGGCAATAGTAAAAGTCTCTCTTCTTAACTCAGAGCCTCACAACAAGAGTAAGGTTTTGTTGCATCTCTGAACAAAAATCTTTCACAAAAATGTTTTATAGTTCTCTTTAAGAGTGTAAGAATAAGATGAAAATGAGTTCCTGCCCTGAAGTGTTCTGGCATGAGCTTGATGGGAAAATAGGACATGTGTGAGAGAAAGTGAGCGATAGAGATTCAGAAAAGCCCCTGTGACACATTCACCTGTTCCCCCAAGCTTTTTTCCCATGGCCCACAACAGAGCCATGCCTGACCTAAGAGAGACCCCAGTGCAAGTCTTTAAACGACAGCATACACAGATACAAACAGATGCTCTGCTGCAACAGGATACAGCTGAACCCTTTATTCATTCAAGTCCTAAAGTCCTTTCATTGTTGTTGTTTTAAAACTAGAATCCCTAAAATCTTACCAAATGCTTGTGTATCAAAAATTAGAAATTTGCATATCATCCATGTATCCTAATATTCAAAATCTCAAAAACAGCCGAGACTCTATGTTTAATCTAAAATAAGCTGTTGTGGCATATAAGATGATACTAACTCAGGCCTTGAATTCAACAACTAGGATTTCAGTCACAAACCTGGATTTTGTCATGGAATGAAAAAAAAATTATCATTCTTTTGGTATATTGAATTTTAAACTAATACTGGACAGAAATCGTTTACGTTTGCAGGTCTTCAGAATTTCATAATGAATTAATTTAGTGGCCATATAAATTGATCTATCTCTTTCTAAACAGAATGTTAAAGAACAAACCAAGAACAGAGAAAAGACAACTCATGCTACGTATTGTTTCTATGGAAATAGCATATAATATAAGAATATTTATTCATTTAAGTGCGAAACAGCAAAATATTAACAGTACAGCAGGACAAAAATTGTGAGATGAAATGAAAAAATACCTGAAAGAACACAAATAAATAGTTTAAATACAGAACAGCTACCAGTGAATGGCAACAAACAAAGAAGAAAATGAATCAAATACTGTGCTGAGAAAAATATAAAAAGAACAAAACACTATCAAAATAAATATTAAATACATATATAAATAGATGCATTGCTTTGTTTAGATCAAGATATTAAGTGTAGATCTCAATGTCAATCAGTTTATCAATCAGTTTATTTATGTAAACACACACACACGTATATATATAAATATATATATATATGTGTGTGTGTGTATGTGTATAGAAAAATTGCAGATCTTGTTGCAAAGCTCTTATGTTCAGAGACATACCATTGCGTCATTTTAATCATCGATGAGTATGAATATCTGATATATGATTCTGTCAAAACTGAGAAGCCAAAATGTTCAGAAATTAGAATGCAAGTGCGAAACTATGGTCACGACAATTATAAATAAAACAAAGAATGCTGTGGGTGCATTTTTGGATCAGGTAGATGCAGTTGAGGTGATGAATGTCCCCCTAACTGAGCATTCAGTGCTCTCACAGAGTAGAAGACTGGACAAATGCACACCGTATGAAACCTCCTCATACAATCGTTACAATGGGCATTGTTTTTTACAGCAGTTCATACAGGACCAGTGCTTTTGGACGATCACTTAATGGTCCCGTCACATTTCAGATGGCGCCCATCTGAGAGTTGACGAGGTGAGCGTGAGTGAAGGAGTCAAAGGCCACTTCCAGGGGCAGGTCGTAACGAGAGGCCTGGAATATTGGGTGGGTCTGAGGCCCCCCTGTTAGGCTGCCGGTCGTGGAAGTGGGATAATGGTGGGAGGAGAGGTAGTGGGCATGATGTCCGGAGTGGGTTGTGTAGTTTCTCTCTGGTTCGTGTGGAGAAGGCTCCTGCTTCAGGGCAAAGTTACTGTTGATGCTGAGGGGGGGAGTGAGGGGCCCGTCGTATGGAGGGGTGCCGCTGCTGCACTCGTTAGGGGAGGGGTTGTCATACACAGGCCCCTTTAATCCCTTCATGTGGAGGAGGTGGGATGCCTCCAGCGAGCCGTACGGTGGGCTCGGAAGGCCAGGGGACGGGTAACTGAGGGGATGTCCAGCCACCACGCTGCCCACTCCTGGGCCTCCGCACTTGTCCTCGAGATTGTTCAGAATCACTGGCGTGGGTCCCAGCTGCAGGCAGCCAGCTACGAGGTTACTGGTGGGCTGAGACAGGCCTTTGCACAGCATCTCCACAAAGCCGTGACTTTCAGGGGACTGACCGCTCTCAAGCACTTCAGACAGGGCCCAGATGTAATTGCGGGCGAGTCTCAGAGTCTCAATCTTTGACAGCTTCTGCGTTTTGGAGTAGCAGGGCATCACTCTGCGGAGATTATCCAGAGCGTCGTTTAGCCCGTGCATACGGGAGCGTTCTCTGGCATTGGCCTTGATCCGCCGGACGCGAAACCTCTCCTGTCTGGCTTTGGTCATCTTCTTCCTCTTGGGGCCTCTCCTTTTGGGACCCTTTTCTCCGTTCGGTCCAACCTCCTGCTCGTCGTCCTCCTCTTCTTCCTCTTCCTCCATATCCTCGCTGCCCAGTTCTGTGCAGGAGCGGATCCGACCCCCGCCAATCAAGCTGTGATTGTCTGGGCTTTCATCTCCGTCCTGTGAACTGCCATCCTCATCCAGCCAGCCCAGGGAATCCACCAGCTCACTCATATCGTCGCTTTTTCCAAAGGGTTTGTTCATCATTTTGATCTGACATAGAACAAACATAAAATTGGTCAGAACTGCTTCTCCTCATGTCTGTTTGCATTATGCTACAAGCCAAAACTCTGAACAAATAACACTTTTATATCACTTTTTTTCTTTACTGATAAGAGACAGAAAAAAGGCAGCTCCTCCAGTAGTGCACCTGACACCACATGTGTGACCAAATCGAGTGGCGATAGAGTGGTTGTGCTTATTTCAGCACTGCTACGTGGACAGCTCACTCATCAATAATCACTTCATAAATCATTACCGCCCTCATGAAATATTCAACAAACTGCCTCAAACTGTTATTTAGTTATAAGCTTTGTGGATTGCATTGTGGCACAACAATACAATTTATCTGTGCCCCCTTGTTCTGCTGAACTCTCATTAAAGACACTGTCAATCTGGGACAGGACAGGATTTACTTTGCATATAAAAGCTCAAAGATTAAATAGGCTGCATAAAAATCAACCAACTTGTGAACAATGTAGTCTTCATAACAATATATAAGACAGGATTTATCGAATTGCTTTTTTTCGTTATTACTCCAAAGCCCTAACTCCTCCATATTGCATATATGTTTTTTATGGATTCAAAGAAAGATAAGGGACATATAAAATGTATTATTGTTTGGAGTGAAAGTGCCCCCGTTATTCTTTGTGCACTAATGCCCAAATGTGGGACAGATTACAGCAAATTATGAATTTAGAATTTTTGAGCATCTGTTAGGATTAGCAACCAGATTAAAAGACCATTCATCTAACTTTATTGAAAAGTTATACTTTGTAAATCTTTCATTCATTTTGGCCCATAGAAAAACGTTAATCTATTATATTAAATTAAATGGTTAATATTGGCCTAAACATTTGCATTTTCTTACTGAAAACTTTTTGTTTTGAACTGAAAAAATAAACAAATGGGAAACTCACCTGGTTTGATTGAGCTCTTTTTTTTCTGCGTAAAGTAGCAGAAAAAGCTGATTAGTTTAAGAAACACTTGAAACTGAGTTTTATGTCCAAAATAGCTGCGTTTCTCTCCTCGCACATCTGCTGCAGCCTCTAGCTGTTGTGCTCCTTCAGAAGGCCATGTGCACGCTTGGAGCTTTCATCCCCAATTGGCACGACTGTGCGGATTTCTTTGCCTTTAGACCGGTAAGCTCCTCCCCCTGCCCCCCACCCACCACCAAGTTATCCAAAAGCGCGTGGCGGGCTCGCGACCACAGAGGTTTCAACCTCATAAATGTCTATAGAACAGAGAGGGGGCGCGCAAAGGGAGAGTGCGCGTGTAGTCCCTCCTTTATTTTGTAAATCAGCTGTCGAGAAACACCGCAGATAAGAAGTGTGCGTGAAAGAAACTATCGTTTGCCACAGATTTCAGGACTTAGATTTTTATTCTCAGTCCAGGAAAGTTGTCTTTCCATAAATGCACAAGCGATACCTTTTGGTGATCTTATCACCATAAAAATAAGCAGACAAATAATTCATTAAAGTTGCTGTCATCCTATATTTTGTTTCCACACTGAATCACTCTCCCCTTTAGTTGGTTAAATACAACAAATTACATCTTTAAGATACGACAAAAACTGAAGACCAACTCTTTTTTCTCACTTTGTTATTTTATTTTCTACATCTAACATGAACCCTTATTTTTTCACTTCACAGGATCAAATGGGTATCACTGTCAGGACAAAGGGAAGCGTCCCACACCAGGAAAAAAAAGTCTAATTTGAACATTTAAACACCTACATCGCCATCCACTTATTTCACTGGTGACAAAAACAAAAAAATCCATAATTCCATGCTGTAGTCAAGTGTGTAAACTATTTTAATCGATTGTCATTCTCGTCATTAGTCGGTTGAATTTGGATTTTCCCCCTGATTAAACTCAGTGTATGCATGGTCTTCACTGAGTTAAGAGACGCTCGTCGTTGAGCGCGCATTTAAGTGATTTTGACAGCTTGGTGTATGAAGAGCAGGTGTGTTCGTTGTTCACCCAGCAGCTCGATTGTTTTCTTCAGTTTTTAGCGTCATATTCAGCACCGGACTGATTGGGCCAGAGATGGAACCGGTGGTAGAAGGCAAAAACTCACGCCAACAGTTCAGAACATCCAGAAATAACGCTGGAGTGCTTCTGGGGAAGGGGTTTTCTGTTAAGTTTTATTTGTTTGTGAGTTTCTGTTGTTTTTTGTTTGCTTTTTTATGATGTTACTATGATATTTGCATCTAACTCAATAGATGCACCTAAACGAGTAGCAGATGTGATATCTTAATACATGTAAAAATGAGTAATTGGTAATTACTTTTACACAGTTTGAACAACGAATAACCGCGTCATAATAAAGACCCGCGTGCGTGGCAGGCCGCTGCCCAGTGGGAGTCCATTGTAATCACTGGCCACTGACAGGCTGAGTCTCGCGAGTCGCACGTGCCCCCGTATTGATCGCATTGTTCGCGCGATTGCGCACAGCTGTACTCGTGACTGAACTTCAGCAACTGTGACTCTCCTTGTCTTTAAGCGTGATATATATTTTCATGTCTGGGGAAATGAGATATGGTCACGTGGCTGATGGACAACAACGCGCAAAAAAAATAAGCGCTTAACTAAGGATTTATTAGGCACGGCCTAACAGATGGCACAATATAGGGAGCGTTGGGGGCGGGGACATCTGTTGCTTGGATGCTCTAGCGTCACTCCCTCTTACCCAAAACGATGTCTCGTGCAGAAACAGCGTTTTTCTCCATCTCGCTAACGGTCCTAATCACTCCAGGTCAATGCACTGGTCATAAAGGCATGCAGATGAAGACAGATAAGCCTCGTCCGTTGTGCGTGCCGTGGCGTGCGCGCCTGTGCGTTTTTTGTATGATGCCCCAAACTCCCCAGGTACACAGAGGTCTACCCCCAAACTCCACGCTTCCACTCCCTGATTGTCCCATGAGTGCCAGGACGACCTCAGCACACCTGCAGCCTGAATGGGGAATTGGAGACTCCCAATCTCCCACAATCCCCATCGGTTTCCCAAATGACTGTCTGAATAACGGAAAGGGAATTGGTGTGCTCCCATTTTAGCGGTAACACACATACTCAGCCTTCTGGAAGAGGTCACGATGAGCAGACCAGAGTTTTACCACTTCTGATGACTGTTGCACGACTTTGAAAAGGATCATTTGAAAGATTTACTGAAGAATAATAACAAATGTTCCTTATACTATATATACTATACTGTTAGACTGGAAAATAAATCTATTTTTTTTTAAATGAACTTAATGATCATTGTGTATTAATACCCTTTTATCTGACTTGTCCAAACAAGTCCCTGTTTCTAATATGACCAAAAGAGTACCAGTCATTATAAGATATTTAAGTGTTATTGTCAATGTGGGTAACCCCTTCTGCAAGAAAAAAAAGAGAGAAAGAGAAAAAAACACTGCCACAAGTGAGTTGTCTCACACTCTTGTCCCCTGGGACTCCCAGTGGATTGGGAGGGATTCGTGCTCAGCGCTGACAGATGGGTCCTTGTTCCACGTCTTTTTTCTTTATCTCTATCTCTCTCTCTAGCCCTTTTGCGAAAACACAGACACGCTCACACACACCAAGATCGTGTGAACACAATAGGATTTAAAACTCCACACACAAGTTCCCCGGCACCCTTCTGAAAGCTGAGCCCCTTGTCGGGATCAGAAAAGATGAAGTGAGCTTGGATTTGTGTGGAGAAGAAGTTGGCATGCTAAGGCACGGGGGCGACGTGGCTAAAGAGATGAAACTGTATTGTTTGAAAACTCATTATCAAAGTTTGATCTTTATCAGCCAACAATACTCAAATGGACATATTTCAGTGTCTGCATGCCTCCAGCCGAGTTCTCGTGGTCACGCAGCATCTGGCAGTTTTTAAATGAGTCTCTGACTGCTCTTAAAAAATTCCAAAGGCTCACCACCCTTTTCCATTTGCTGTTCATTGAGGCTTAAAATGGTTATATGGTTACACAGCACACTTTCCTGAAGGAAACACACACACACACTCACACACACTCATTCACTCAGCTATTGTTCATTGAGAAACTTTTGACCTCAGTCAAAGTCTTGCAATATTGCTATTGTTTAATCTTATGACTTTCAAAAAGAGTTTTCAAAAGTATTTTTTCTTAAATGATTAGAATTGGTTTTGGCACAATCCAATATACCATAATGATAGTTTTCTTTAGTTGCTTTCATAAGATTATAATCTCACAGGCTTATCTGACCTAACTCCATCACATGAGCTATAGATAGGTTTGTGAAATAGGTTGTCATGTCCATTAAAGTATTATGCCAATAGCATAAGTCTCCTAAATTGAATAGTAAATTTTGATAAGATCTCGCAGCATTTCATCTTAACAATGAAGGCAGATTGCTTTCTACTTACTCCTCTTCCTTTGGGCTAATCGATTCGGAAAACATTCCGGTCTAGCAGAAATGTGGCTACAGAATGGGAATCAGGCCTGAGGGCAATTCTCACTAAGTGGGGAGAGAGCCATTAAACAAAGGTGCCTGTGGTTTCATATTCAGGATACTTTACAACCTCTATCCCAGGACATCAACACTGTTTTTGGGTGTGCTGTTCAAGGGGGGGAGGAGGATCCATCTGCCATGTTGCCGGTCCTCGGGGAGACGGGCATATCCCTGGGGTGTTTTGGAGAGAGAGGGTCTGAAAGGATTACACCAGACCACTAATCAACGACGCTAATCTGCGGGCCCCCATACAAAATCCCCTCTAATTCACAACAACAATTTGGAATGGAGGACAGAATCTCACTATACTAGGACTTCTTGCAGATAAAGAACAACCTGGCAAAGACAAATACAGGTGATCTTTAATTGGGACAATCAGCTGTGGAGGTGTGATTGGCTGAGAGCCATGGTGCATCTGTGATCAGGTGCAAGTGTCCCACAAGTGGCCCAGTCTGAATCCCAGTGTGACCATTATGCAAATGGTTCAACAAGACAAGCCTTCTACACAAATTTGTTTGAATGAAGCATCTTTTTAATATAATTTTTCTCCAAAATGTGTTCTATGTAAAGCGTTTGGTTATCAGGTCCTCAATTTGGACGTTGATGTTGCCTTCTGTGTGAAAACAATAATTAATAAGCACACAGCTTTGCGTTTCCCCCATAGTTTAAGAGACAAAAGTATGTACACTCTCGAAGATGAACTTCTAAACAGTTGCGGTGATACTTTAGAAAAAATACTTCTCCACAGAAGGACGTTACACAAGGTACTGTTGTTTTGGCAGGTTTCATCATCAGGTGACAGAATAGCAGGCACTCAAATATCCGCTACCCCCCCCCCCCCCTCTGTCAATATGGTTTTGATGTCTTTGGTCTGGGCAGGGTTTTATTCTGGTAGAGGTGGATTTAAAGCTCAGCAAAACTAGAAGCTGCCTAATGATGATGCTAGTCCTCCGGGGCACAGGGAACAGTGCATCTTGGCCTGCACCTCCTCTACCTCCTGCAGAATACCCACTGGCTAGGCTGCCACTAAGCTCCCTATCCCTATAGTCTCATTGTTTAGTGGGCCCGGCACTGTCAATATTAAGCCTGGCTAATGTGATCTGGAGGCAGCTGGAGCTGCCCCGATTATTACCATGACACAGCCGACTGAGGGTGTAATATCATTAAAAATAAATCAGGTGGTTTGGAGATTTGCCGTTGCAGAGGGGACTTTGAATGACATTAGTTTGGGAGAGCAACCATAATTTCATTAGTCAGTCGGGGCACCTCAGAAGATCTGTTGAAACATTTGCTTTGAGTTGCAGTAATCGAATCAGTTTTCAAAACAATCTACATAAAGTGGAAAATAGGGGAATTTAGGATAGTAGTTTTTCCAACTGAATGTCAGACAATTTAGAAAATTGATTTTTGACATGCATGTGCAGACAAGTGGAACTCACAAAGGGATAACATTTTAATTTCCTAATTACTGCTTCTGGTCCATTACTGATAATCTATTCTAAAAAAAAAAAAGACATTTCAGAATTCATTAGCCTGTTGTGGTGGATTATTGATGGAAATGATGAGAAAAACGTGAGGCACTGCTAATCTTCTTAAACTGTTTGACACTGAGCTGTCTGCTCGCCAGACTCATCATCTGTGGGTGGGTTGGGGGGGAAAAAGCGGGCTGACAGGATCTATTAACAATCGAGGCGAATAAAATAATTTTAAAAGATTTTTCCTAATTATTCTGTACTATCTTTGATCACAATCCATTTTTTGTTTTGATATTGTTTTGTGTGGGTGTTTTTTGTTGTTTTTTTGTTGTATTTTTTTATCTGGATTGCTTCGTCATAGGAGAAGCAACAGAGGAGCCGTTGGTCTCGCAGCGAGGGGTTTTGTGTCGCTATTGTTTCGAGGTACAAGACGCATAAACGGTGATTTCAAGGCCCATTGAGCGCGCGATGGATTGTGCCCAAAATCTGCTGACGAGTCGATAACAATGATTATTGGAAACGGAAGAGTGACTCCAGAAGTTGCAGCTATGGTTCCGATTTACACCGTGACGTTTATTTCGGTTGGATGTGTGGATGGATGTCTGGATGGATGAAAGAATGAACGTTTTGTCAAAACTTGCGGTTTTGATGTGCTTCAGTTAAAACTCACCCAGTTGGCAGAGGCGGGAGGTCCGTGCGCCCTGTCCATATACTGGGCTATAGTGACATCTAGTGACGTTTCTGTGGACTAGATTGTCTTGTAACTATGCCTTTTTTCTCATCCTAGAATATCACAGAACATCATCGATTTAATTGGGAAGCAATTTAACCTTATCAGTGTTTTAAAATGTGATTTACGAGCTGTTTCACAAACATAACTCAATATAATTTTCAGGCATGAAGTAATTTATGATAAAGTAAAAGTTACAATGAAATACAGTGTAGGCTACCAGTTGAGGAACATCAAACATATAATCGCAGAATATGGAAAACAAGCACTCCAGATTGTGGTGCATATTTTACATTACAGCTAAATTTAAGCCATTCACAGTTTCATGTTAATTGCTGAAACTTATTCAGTGAGAATTCACAGGACAATAAAAATCTAAAGTCTCATTGTTCTTTTTGGTGTTTTGATACCCAAAATGGTCCATCTCATACAATCGAAAAGAGACACTTGTTTGTTTGCTAGTTTCCACACACACACACTAAAACACACTATTTTTTACCCAAATACAAGTATGTGTTTGGAGCAGCCAGGTTGTATCTAAATCTTTCCGTTATTCATTCTACACTCATGTACTCATCTCCACTCCTACACTTTGCTTCACATCTCCAATCACATGCCTCTCCATACATCCACCCCTGCCTCATCCACCCGCTGGTCCCCAAGCATCATCAGTATCATACCGTAGCTCTCCTCCCCCTCACCTTCACAGGATTCACACAGCTGGGACGTTTTACTTCATAGATCGAACATTTTCTGTGCAGCAAACACAGAGGCAGCTTTTTACAAAGATTCAGTTTAAGGTTCTTCAGGACTGACCATGGCTCCTAAAAGAGAACCTTCCATTAAGAAGTCCCCTTCACCAGTGAACCAACCCAGATTGGGTCCTCCATATCCCTGCCTGCCTACATCTCCTGCAACTCCAAAACCGATCCCGGAGCAGAAGCCGAGGATGCTGCGTCCTTCAGATTCACCATTTGACCCCAGCACTTTAGAAGTGAGTATATTTACTGAAGTTTATTGTTTGTGGCAAAGTTAATGTGGGGCATTGATTAATCATGACTTTTAAAATTCGCTTTGTCTGACTTATCCAGCCTTATTTCATGTGTAGCACACAGCTTACTATTCATAATATGATATTCAACCTATGGTGGTAAAATTCTGTAAAACATACCATGTTGTATTTACATATTGCTATCTATTATAGGCCTCTCCATTATTTTCTATAAGCTTGTTAAAAATATAACTATTTGCACTATGCATTTGAATTAGGAGCAACTCTAAGTTTAGCCGAGAAATGGGGCACTGAATTCTGATCGTCAGTCAGCCAGTGACCTCCTTAGGGAGAGAGAGAGCCCTTTTCCTGCCACAGTGTGAGCTAGTTCTCTCCTTAGAAAGATAAAATGGATGAATAGTCTACTCCCTGAGACTAAATGATGTTCATAAAAAGTACAATTCTAAAGCTAAATGTCACATTTCCAACTCACAGTAATAATCATTGGATTAAAAAGCACTGAGGTTTACACATATAATCTGTCGTAGCTCTTGATAAGTCCACAAACATTTTTCAAAAAATGTAGTGTATATAGAGTGTCACCCAATGATGCTCTGAACTGAGCAGATCATTCAGAACAGCTGTTTGACATGTTCTTGGTATCAAATTCAACATTAGCATACATATTCATAGAGGATTAATTTAGCTAACTTTACTGTGGCCATAACTGAAAAAAGTCCAAATTATCAGAGTCAAAGATTACAAGGTTGATCAGATAAACACTTCAAACTACTAAATTATTGACATTGTAAAATTGGCACAATAAAGAACCAATTAATAGATGCCCCACATTAGAGTTTGCAGTGTCTATTTTAGCTTTGCTGCAACCCTCATGAGCTTATAGAAATACACTGCATGCACTGCATGATTTGAGGCATGAGACCATTTCCATTTAGCCTGTGACAATATTTGGGTCACTTCTCAATGATATCAGTAATATGAATCCAGTCTGTAATAGCGTTGACCTTTATAATGTCATGCCTGTATGTCAGGGTGCACATTGTTAATTAACATCTAACATTTATCAACATAAAGTCCTCCTGTCTCCTTTGATGCATCCCATGAGACTATCTACCTTACTGCTTCCTCCTATCTTACTCATACTGATCCACACCAGAAATCCCATTAATTTCCCTTCTTCCCTGCTCCAATGTCTATATCCTCAACATTTGGTTTACAGGACCAGTATGGCAGCACCTCTGTAGATTTTTTAAAATCCTCGCTGTTGATGGGGAGCCTCAGTTTATTGCTCTGTCTATATAAGGAAAGCTGCCCTGGCTCAAAAGGTAATTTCCAAACACTTCCAGACATAAAAGGAGCCTCCTGATACTCCAACCAGTACTCTCTCTGGCTGTTAACATTGAGACCAATCATTCATGAGGGGGAAACCCATGTTGGCATAAAACTGTGAGCCCTGACTTGTCTGGTGCAGTTCGACATAATTCTAGAACTTGGGTAGTAACTTGGATGTTATGTTTCTAACAGACAAATGCTTTTCACAGCATCCTCACTGGATTCTTAATGAAGGATTGGTGTCCTGTTTAAGTATGAAGCATTTCCTTTCAATAAACTACCTGCCCTCACCACAGAAGGGTCTGGTCTTTGCAGATGTGTAAAATAAAAATAATAAGGACAGAATACAAAGCCAATTATAAACCTGCTCTGAAACCGGCCACACCCTCGACTTTGTGTCTAAATATGGAGTGACAGGATTCTGGCTGCCCGACGGCCGCGACGTCACCGTCATTTACGTCATGACGTAAAATACGAGGGCTTTCTCACACTGCCCTCTGTACAAGCCGTCACATTCTTGGGTTTGCCGTCTTCTCGGACACACCTCAGCCGACACAAAAATGGTGGGTTTTTGTTTCATTTGACTTATTAGCTTAGTAGCATATTAGTCCACTTACATGGTAAATATTCAGGGAATATGGTTTAGTGTGCATAGGTGACGGTTAAGGTGAGCTTAGAATGCAAATTGGCTCGTTGGTCCCGAGCGGAAGTGCAACTTTTCTTAAGCTAGCATTAGCTTCCTTTAGATAAAAAAAACAGTAATACGATGAGCTAATTGGCGTAACCAAAGTACCTAGATTACTATTAAGACATCTTTACTGACATTTCATACCAAGCTAGGTAAATCCGAAGTATTTTTTTGCTTAGCAAAAGGAGCCATTTTCATATAGCGCAATTTCTTTCTGAACAGTCTGACTTCTCGGAAGATCAAATCCTCGGTAAGTTTATTTTTTTGCTATTGTATTGTGACGTTTTCATTGTACACAGCTCTTCTTTTATGCATGCTTTCGTTTTCGGGTGGTCTCAGATGACACTTTGCACCGCTATCACCTTGCTCTATACTCGCCTCTCGCAGTAGACGTGTTTTAGGCTACATTTTCTTTATTTCCGCCCTGTTTCATCACTTTACCTCTTGCTGCTGCTTGTCATTTCCAGATTGAATTTAACCTGGATCAAATTCATGGTAAGTCGGTAAAGAGGCTTCGTCTTCCACTAAAACATGTCTGATCGGCGTGTGGTAGGGTGTGATCTGCACGCCAGTTTTGGAGCAAAAACTGTTGTAAATGCGAGTGAGACATGCTTTGCACCGTTGTCTCGTACGTAGAATGATAACTTTAATGATGTACTTAACAGTCTTGATGTGATTTTCTTTTTCAATTTTGCATGGGGGCATTTTCGTTTAAAGGAAGACACAGTCTGTGCTCACATCTGTCTTCTAGTCTTGTTTTGACAGCTTTTGCACATCCTGCGATATTGTCATAAACCTGTGTTGGCTTCCAAATGGCTCATCTCCACTGTACCCATTTTTGGTTTGGATAAAGAGGTCGATGGTTTTCGTCCCAGGCGCTGGTTTGTTTAATCCACGCTGACATAATAGACCAAAGCTACTCTCTCCTCCTACTTTTCTCCACTCCTCTAATACCAAATATGGTGTTGGGAAAAGTGCTAACAGGCCAGAAGGGAAGAGGCACATTCCTCAGAACAGGAAAAAACTCCACAACAGTGCCTGGGCTTTTTTGGAGAATACTTGGTCTCACAAGATTAGGAACACCCTGCTCCCGGATATTGTGTAATCCCACTCCGTGTCTCCCTGACTGTTTGATCTGACCAAGGCTGTTTTTCTGTTGATCTTAAAGAGGTTGTTGAAAAAAATATACCTTGCTTAAACTCCTGACACCTAACTTGGACAACAACAAAATACTGCTCAGATGTGTGGACACACCTATCCAAACAATGAATTATGAACTCATTTACTATTGTTGATTTTTGTTTTTTTATAATGGCAAAGATCGGCATGTTGTGTCCTTATATTGGAATGCTGGTTTGTGTCATTACTGACAAGAGCACTAACAAACATACTTGCCCAATTGAGGAAGTTAGAAGGGTGTCAGCCAGCAGAGCTCAGAGCATGATGTCTTTTGGGTCAGTTGCACCACACTGTACATTAGATACTTATATGGTAATGTTTATGTAAATAAAAATTGCTTTGGGTTTTCTGTTAAAAAAAAAAAAAAAAAAAATTGTTTGTTGACCAAAGCTGAAACCTTTCCAGCAGGAAACCAAATCACTTGTAAACTTACACACTCAATCTGCTTGTTTGTTCTCCTTCCAGTCTCGCTTCTCTTCTTTCACCTGTCTTTCATAAATGTCATCTTATCTTTTTCATTTTACTTTGTAATAGGTCCTCCCTCTGACTAGTCATATTTTATCTCTTGTTTGTGTTCTGCAGAGTTCAAGGAGGCATTCCTGCTGTTTGACAGGACTGGAGATGGCAAGATCAGCTACAGTCAGTGTGGAGACGTTATGCGGGCCCTGGGACAAAATCCTGTCAATGCTGAGGTGCTCAAAGTCCTGGGCAATCCCAAGGCCGAGGGTGAGCAGAAATTCAAATTATTTCTATGCAAGTTATTTGTGATAGTAGTAAAAGAGAAAAAAAGGTCTTCATAGAAAGAGAGTGACTTGTCTCGTTATGCTTTGTTGTGCTTTTGCAGAGATGAACACCAAGATGCTCGACTTTGAGCAGTTCCTGCCCATGTTCCAGGCCATTGCAAAGAACAAAGATCAGGGCTCCATGGAGGACTTTGTGGAGGGGCTTCGCGTCTTTGACAAGGAGGGCAATGGCACAGTTATGGGAGCAGAACTACGTCATGTCCTCACCACACTAGGCAAGTTACATTTTAGGTTTAAATATTTCGGTTAAAAAAAACACTAGAAGTAAAACTGGAATATTGAAAAATATAAGATCTATGTGCGATTAATCTAAATGTCATTTTGAAAAACATTTAGATAGACAGCAGGCATAAAAGCCAATCAAATAAGAAAACTGTGTCACCAGTCTAACAAAAGCTAGTTTAAACAAAAGAGTCAGCTGCTACAAAAGGCAGCCAAGGTCTAAAGAAAAAATAACCTTCAAAGAGGAAAAACCTTTACTCAGCACAACACTAAAAGATTACAGTGTTTTTCCATTTCAAATGCAAAATCTACAGACATAAGGGCTGGCTGAAGACCTTTGCACACTGTATATGGTTCATGTAACTAATGAACATACTAATTCATCTTTATTTTCAGGTGAGAAAATGTCAGAGGAGGAAGTGGAGACGCTGTTGGCGGGACACGAAGATGCAAATGGTTGCATCAATTACGAAGGTGAGAGCAACTGAGAACAATGTGAAGATGGAAAGGTGGCTATAGCTGGGCCTGTTGCTTTGGATTAATGCATCTATAAATGCAGCCGTACCAAGTCAGAGGGTGGTACTGAAGCCTGTGCCGTGTGTGCCATGCTGACGTAAAATGTTGTCTCTGCCAGTAGAAATAAATAAATATGTTTGTTTGTTTTTGTTTGAATTACGTTTACCGTTGCTCCTAGTTCTCCACAGGCAAAAAAACGGTAACATTTGCATTTTTGTGATCCACAGACAAAGTCTGGGTTTTGTGATACTTTTCCATTTATTGTTAAGATGATCACCAGAATGAATGCCAGAACATCCACAGCTGTGGTCACGCACACAAATGTGTTCTCCAGCAAACTGCAGGAGCTGGCTCACCGGCCGTCTCACTGACCTGCAGAGCTGTGCAGCCTGATGAAAAGCTGCTCTATGGGACAATGGCGCATTTACAGCAAAGGCATGGCCGTTCTGGGATTGTTGCAGGGCTGTTATTTTGTTTTTTTTTGTTAGTGTAGTCGTCAGTGTGGTACTGCTGTGTGATGGCCGTATTTGGTCCACTGTTGTGCAATCACATCATAATGGGAACAAACACAGACTTTTAATGTGGATCACGGAAATGCAATGAAGCGGTTTGTTGTGAAGTAACGCAATGTTGCCATCTCCCAGAGCTTGTTTTTATTTCATTTGTGTGATGGGCTTCTTCTAGAGGCCAGGATTTAATGTTTGTGAACTGTTCTTCCTCCGCAGCGTTTGTTCGCCACATCATGTCAGGCTGAGGGCCGGTACGGGCACTATGTAAACATTGGGATGGTACCTCCAGGCTTTCCTGCACTTTCACTCAATTAGTATGACCCACCCGGCCTAGCCTGTCCTAACACTAACTGTCTTGGTGACCTAGTTGAAATTGGCAAACGGCACCAGTTTCCTATGGTAAAGTAGGATCTAGCTGCGGGTGTCTGTGGGGAAAGCCTGGTGGTGTCTCTCCCCTGCAGACCTGAGGCCTCGACCCACGTGTAGCCTCCTGCTGCTCTGTCTCTCTCCTGCAGCCCTCTGTCTTGGCCCCTGGCTGCAGCATGCTCCTCTGCATGTGTCTGACTCCCCCGAGGTCATATGGGGATATGGTGGACACATAGGGAAGAGACTGGTCTCATTCAGGGAAAAGCCTGGTGGTTTATTTCAAGTATGGTGTGCTGGTTATCAGGCAGCTTTTCTAATTTCATTCGCATGTTATTAGTGCTTTGGCTTTTTTAATGCTGGTGTCAGAAGTGGCAGATTGATCTGTTTAGAGTAAAAAAAAAAAACATTCCTTAGTGTTGTCGCCACCAGATTTGGGAGAGTGGACCAGTCCCCTTTTTCTACTAACCAGAGAATTGCATTGAGTTGCTCTTTTGCTGACTGTTTTTCTCCCTTGTACTGATGGAAACTGAATTCGTAGCTGGTCAGACTGTAGCTTCCCTGATCTTCTCCCCTTTTCTCTGCTTCTCAGCTAGAGGAACACATACAGGAGGGATGGCTTCTCTAACCAACTTTTTATGGATCTTAGAGGGCCAATTGCTTTGGCTGAATAGAAGATAGCAATAATTATCTCACATCTTTCCCAGTACCCTCTTTAACTTACCCTCTTCTGTCCTCTGGATGAGCAGAATATGGGGGATCTGTCTCCAAATGCAGCATCTCTCACAGAGGCTCGCCAAAGTTTGAAGAGGAGAGGGCCTTAGCCCCACATGCTGCAGTTGGAGTGGGTCTCTCCCATTAGTTTGACAATGAAACTCACATTTGTCTCTTGTGTCTTTTTGCAGAACTGGTCAGAATGGTTATGAGCGGATGAAGATGAAGAGCGTCCCTATCATGTTTTTTCTCTTTTGTTTGGGTTTTTTTGCCCTTTAGCTTTTCCAGTGGTCCCTGACTCTTTCCATAAATTTGCTCCACCATTATAATTTAAGAAGTGCCTTTACATCCCTTCCCAAAAACATGTTATAGGATCTACTTGTATTAAATGAGTATTCGCACTTGAATTCTTTGCAATTACATTTCAGGATGCAGCATTTAAGACAATTGAAGTTTATACACTGCAACTGTTGATACAAATGTCAGTGCTGAATAGGACATTAATATAAACATTAAACTGTAAGTAACCTGACGTATAACTGGTTAGGATTCGCTCTGGCTGAATAGAAATGTTCCTGAATTAAAGATAAATCAGCATATCTAAAGCCATACTATCACGAGTTTGAAACATTTCAAACAGGTTCTGATGTATTATGCACCCCAGTTTTGTTGCTACATCTAAATAAATGTTTTTTTTCCCCCAGAAAGTTTGTGATTGGTTTATTTTAGAAGGGTAAGGTGAGACCCTGTCAGCCAGGATTCCTGTTCCAATTCGTAGGTGTTACATCGTGTATGCCCACTAGAGGGCAGTGCTGCCATTTCAATCCACTGAAAAATACCATGTTGAGAAAATTTAGAATATATTAATCAACTTGTGTTTACCTAAGACGAATTAAAAATAAATCCCACGTTTCCATCATAAGCAGATCAATTGGTTTTACCTATTTATTTTATTTTTTGCAGAATATTTGGAAGGTTTTGAACATTTTTTAAATACTTTTTTTTCCTGAGATGTGTGAGAAAATGATGAGGCATAGACACATAAATAGCAAAAGGCTGCTCAGTGGCTTCGTGACCTTTTCTTCATATCTTCTCAAGCAGTCACAACTATTTCCCCTCATTAAATACCACAGCTATTGGAGTGTGGAGCTTATGTGTGGGGGGGGGGGTAAGGATCAGGATCGTGTCATAGTCCACTGCTGAATGGGTTGTCCACTAATTACTAGGTGTGTGTAATGTGTATGTGTATGGTCGATGGAAGTCAAGGCTATTGATTATTTTAATCCTCCTATTTGTGAGTCTGTGATCCTCGTGGCTCTGCATTCGACAGGGGAATCACTAATGGGCCTCAGCGCAGCCCGTCTCAGACCCTCTCCCCGTCCAATTAACTTTCAACTGGAATCTGCCAGGGGAGAAAGCCGTGGGCTGGGCCCAGCCACAGGGCGGCTTCATCCCTCTTTTTTTTTTTTTTTTTGCTAGGAAGCAACAGATACACCAAATCCTTTACCTCTGGAATGATATCAGCTCTTTGCTCTAATTAGGCACTTTTTCCAAGCATGCAAGAAGAATTTGATCTTAATTTTCTTTATCTTTGACATCGTCTTTGTCTACTTGTTTTGAACCTGATTAGCTGACTATTGATTTTGATTTTTTAAACAGAATTTTGTGAGTCACACAATCTACCTCATATTATTTTACAATGTTAGACTCCATATTTGTTGAGTCTTTTAATTTGAGAAAGTAATAAGAACATGAATTTGAGTTTGTCGATAATCTCTAAATGATGGAATTACATGTATCCCTCATATTTTTCCTTTGACCAAAAAAATCCGTTGCAAGATACCTTTTGTGAATAGCCTAAGAAAATGTGATTAAAGGAAAAATATGTAATGATTCCAGGTTCTTTTTCCATTTGAAATTTCAGTGAAAGTTTACTATGATGAATATATATTTCTATTTTAAAAGGGCTATTAAAGTTTTAAAAAAACTTATAGGTTGAAACTAATTCCAACCCTAATGTAAAACATGTTTAAGTGGCTAGAACTGGAGATTTGTAGGTCTTTGCACATCCAATGTGTGTTCAGGGATTTGATTTCTCATTGTACTGATTCGCATTGTGCTGAAGACCATGATATCCATAAAGTCAATGTAGGAATACCAAAAATCTGAGAATTTAAACATTAATATGCAAGAAATTTCACAGGTTGGAAAACTTGAAAAAGACAGATTTCTTATAATAGGTCAGCTTTACAGCAAGCAACCCTTATAAATAATAATCAGCCTTACTGAACACCAGAGCGGTAGTTTTAAAATTAATCACAATTTTTTTTTACCTTTGAAAAGTATGGATAATCAGATTTTGTATCTCACTTTATGAGTCGCTGAGGCTCCTACAGCTGTATTAATGTCAGACATATTGGAAATCTATGTTGTAGCAGACAGCGACCGTGGTCAGCTTTGATCTCAGCTGCGAAGTTCACAAAACTGTGTCACATATTCAATCCCGCTCAGTTCGAGGAGTCGCTTCAAATAAAACTGAACATGGGGTCTGCACAGCTCATAGGTTTATGACTATAGATTGCACACACCTATTATCAGCTCTGACATTCACCATGTGAAAGAGTGAATGCAAGAACACAGAGAAAGTTGGTATTGATGTTTTTAATAGCAACTGACCATTCAACTTTTAGCCCATCCAAAAAGTAGGATGTTTACACATAATGATACTTTGACAGGATTTCTCAAAAAATAAGCACAGACATGGCAGTGTAAAGTCTAGTAGAATGCCTGTGATGTATCATATAACACCGAATGTAAGTGAAACACTGATTCTGTCACTTTTACACCTGTTTCTTACAATAACCACGTATCCATTTCCACTCCCATATTCACACTCACAAAGGGGCCAATAATGCAAATAAAACGTTGTTACACAAGTGCCATCTCCATAAAGTACTACAGGATAAACTGAAAGGCTCATATTTTCTGCCATGATGAAAACAAGGTAGGAAACTCAAGCGTAAGTTTACTTGAATTTACTGTGCAGGTTAAATCACAATAGCCTCTAAATTGGTGTTGTGAACCTTTATCTGTAGGGGGAAACATTTTGCAGGGAGAGGTGCAGAACAAAGGTAGACCGTACAGTCAGGGGATATTAGAATAGAGAGCATACACGTAAAATTAAAATCTTTTAAAATAACGTTTCATGTGTATTTACTTTAGCTTCGACGGCTTTATAGATATGCCTTCAACACCATTATTGCATTAAAACTACCAGACTCATGGTGTTATTTGGTGTCATTTGATGTTTTTGCTCTCAATTGTAAAGTTTATACAGAGCACTTTGTAATGCTTATGATATTTCAGAGCCTTAGGGTGGAATTGTCACTTGCACCTAAGCTGTACATATTCTTAAAGTCAAATCTGCACACAAGCAGTTTGAATAAATGCAGTTTGCTATGATGATTGGCTGAATATCACACGATTTGACTTCCAATTTATGTCTTGTTTTCACCCCGTCCGCTCGCAGTCTGTTGTAAACTCACAATATCTCTCTGCAGGTACTGTATGGGCCTGTCATGGTGTTTGCTTGCATGCATGTATGTGCATATTTTGGTGTGTAGACGGCGTGTCTGCGTGTGTGCATTCATTTGCATACATACATATCTGTAACTGTGTGAATATGTCTATTTGCCTGTTTGTTTTCCATTCTTTTTCCGCCCGGATTCAGTCTGGGTAGATGAGGAAGCCAGAGAAGGTGCTGTACTTGTTCTGGTTTCCTCCGTGCACCTTCCCTCCGTCCAGCTGCACGTACACTTCATCACCTACGTCCAGATGCAGGATCACACTGTTGGAAGCATAGTCGTAGTTTTGATCTGCATCTTGAGCGATGGCACTTGCTCTTACCTATTGAGGACATACAAACAGTTAGACAACCTGCTGTTATTGCCTTTATACCACTTTGATACATGTTATTCCCTCTAATTTAGGGTGGATACAAAAGTAGCTTTTAAAGGAGACTCACATAAAAGAAGAAGAACAGGCTTTGACCTCTGACCCCAGAGGTGAGCACTGCCATACAATATTTTATTGATCAGCTGTGGACAGGATTAGACTTAAAGCCGGAGTTCTGATTGGGTTCTTGAGATAAGCAGGCTCACTGGGGACAACAGGTTGCCTATTGGAAACTAACTCAGCCAAGAAACAGCATCGCTCTCCACACCAGCTATTGACCTGTTGCTTATGATTCTGGGCCAGCCCAATATGCATGTTATTGAGTGCCTATGCCTTGGGTGGACAGTTTCACATTTGCATGCTCTGCGGGTGTATGGTCTTATCGACCCCGAAGCAGTGGATCTTTACTTGTTTGTTAACTCATTTAATTTGGTTTATTGAGTTTGGACATGAATTCACAAGTGTAATTTGAGTTTCTGTTTTTACTTGAAACAGAAATTTACCCATTTATCTCTACCTTTAGTTTTCATTTCTCCACGTTAAGTTTCTGAAAATATTTTGGCTTTACAAACCTTTAAACTTCTACTTTTTTAACATTATTCTTATGTGAAAATACGTTCAATAACGCACAATAGCAGTAAGAAATATACCCTCCAATAATAGGGTGTATCAATGATTCTGGTGTAGCAGCTCCAATCATCCGACATATGTCAGCCATCAGTGGCCTTGTGTCTGGCTCAGTGTCTATTCACGCTGGGAGCACTCAATCTATGTCAGAGCCCAGACAAGCCACGCACATCTCCATGACAGCCACAGAATATGATCTGCAACTCAACAACTATCATGTCATTCCCATCACTGGGAATCCTTTTTCCCCAATGAGTATGCATCAATTTGAGCAGTTTACGGTGGAGCAGTCGAGCCTGAATGGCTTTCGCTGAAAAATGCTCTTTTGCCACAGCGCCAATCCATTTTGTCCTCATCTTGTAACATTGTTCACCATTTACCAACCCTGGAGTGCTTTATTCTAGAAATAATCAACACGGGGCACTATAGTGATGATGAGTGGGCCCCTGTCGTCTGCAAACCAAGCTGATTAAGGGAGTGGAGAGGTAAACCTTTAAGGAGGCTCACAGCTAGACAGCGAGTCAGTCAACGGAACAAGGCAATTATTGCACCATTACAACAGTTTCACTTTCAATTTCTCATTCATTTGTCGACACTGGTATCTGTAGCTGTAGAACATCTGCTTCAGTCTAAAATGAGTGTGATCCCGACAGCAGATTGATTCAGTAATCTTATATTGAATTACAATAGTTCCTTGGTCTATTTTTTACGGCACTAAAACCTGCAAATGTTTACGTGTATATTTCTCTACACAGGCTGTACATGAATACAAAGGTAATCTTGAATTTGCCCATTTAATGTATGTATTCCATCCCATTCTTTTTTTTCTTTTTTTTCTTTTTATTTGGAACATTTAGTATTTTAGATAAATGCCTAAAGATGAAACCATTTTAAGTTTATTTCATTCTGAACAATACAGGTGATATTTATATTTATATTCTTAATCCTTAAGTCAGCTTATGGCCTACTGTGCACAATTGTCAATGAAGTACTGTCGTTATCCATTACCCATCATAAGACACCAACCAGCAACATCATATTTTGCCATCTGTAAAGGTTATATTGCTCTGCCTGACATGTGCAGAGATAGCCAATATTACATTTGCATCTTTGGATACTTCTGACAGAGAGGCTGTTGTCGTGACTTTTTATTGACAGCAGGCATATGTCACCCTGCTCATTATTTTGGCCAAACTTGGAAGGAAATGTGGGAAGGAATTTTTTTTCCCCCGTAGATCCTCTC